AACATTGTATTTTCACAAAACCACTGAATTGCTGTCTGCCCCTCTAATCAGAGTGTTTCTAATGCTACAGTTCCTTGACAGTATCGGGAAATGCCATCACAGACCTAATAAAAAGAGAAATCTCTGGTGAGTCAGCTTTGATAGAATGGATGTTTCCTACTATTGACTTCAAAGGAAAGAAATTGAGGCTAATATTATTGTTGTTTTTTTTTAAAAGCACTCCTTTGGCATCAGTGCATGACACCCTCCATTCCAAAAGCTGCAAATACTTTCCAGACTTCCACAACATTCCCTCGAGTCAGGCATGGAAACTTATTGTTTAGGTGAAGTAACTCAGAATCATGTAAGCTGGTGCATGCAGACCTATTTTCCCTGCAGATGCAGGATTGTCCCTCAGGCTCCTCTGTAGATGTAGCCTGTAGAGATCTCATTACTCACCATGTATTGCTAGACACATGCTCCCCACTGACCACAGACAGCCTAATACTTGAGAACAGAGATTCCGCATCGGTTTCCTTAGCAGCAGAAGCAGTGATACTCATCTGCTCAACAGGCCCCTTCCTCTTGTAATCCTAATGACCAGGTTGCTGCCCATGAAGTGTTACAAATGTAGCTGAGCCTTCTGATGGAAGTTTTCAGAGGTTTATGACATGTCAAACCACCTGCGTCAGAGACGTACAGTAAAAATAACAGGCAGTTCAGCCAGACCTATCTTTCGTGTAATCTCTACAAAAACCTGTTTCATAGGTAAATTGCAAGTGGTTAGTTTGTGTAACATAGTGATTTGAACAAACGATCTGCACTGGAATGCTGGAATTGCCTAAAGATGCCTTTAGACAAGTTACTTATCTTCTCCATGTCTCAATTTCCCCATGTTTAATGCAGTACCTATAGTGTCTCACTCTTAGGGATTCAAAAGAACTGACTACAAACAGCACAGGTGCTGGATTTCACTGCGTGCAATACAGCACCCAAGTCATTGCATCCAGTCTATTCTCAAACTGAGTATGTTGCATATATACAAGAAAAAACTGTTCTACTTCAAAGTCTTAACTATTTAGGCAAGAACACAATGTGACCGATCTAGAACGCACGCGGGAGGCATTTGTTTCTTGGAAGCACGTGAACTAGAGACATTAACAACGGCTGTTATCACTGTCCAGCTCCTTTCGTGGATATCACATAGGTTATGATATCCAATTTCTAGAAACACTGATTGCGTGTGTAGAAATTACGTAGAGATAAATACATCTGCCGTGACCATGTCTGTGGAGGCCTGAAACGTAAGCACATATGCAGGCACTGATGGGAACTTAGCTTCCTACTCTTTCTGAAGCCACAAGAGTTCAAGAGGGTAAACTAATAAGCCAAGTATGGATTTGTCCAAATCAAACAATTCTACACAACTAAATGAGCAGCTCTATATTTACATTTGCAAGCAGAGGCTTAAACTGAGGATGCAATATATGGAGATCAGCAGGGTTCTACCCACCAAAGTATTGGAAGAACTGAAAGACGGCAAAAGATGCAGCTACGAGAAACTTTTTTTTTTAAATAAAAACCATTTAAGCTTGCTAATTTTTGCTGTCTCAGACAATCAAAATTCCAATTGTCTGGGACATCAAATCTAAAAAAGCATGAAATTAATCTTCAGAAGTTAAAGTCTTAAAGGCATTGCATCATTATTTTTGTTGGATATATTTTTGATTATAATGCAGATGAACCCCAAATTTAATAAAACTAAAATAACATGAGTTAAGTATGAAACATAACAGGATATTGCAAAGAGATTAGGTAGTTTCCTTTAGACTACTTGCAGAGCCCAAGGAAAAACCAAACTGAGAGACACAATGACGAGAAGGCACCACTTAATTAGAATATTTAACAGAATATGAAAACAGAATACTCATAGCACCAGTTTTGGCAATGAAACCCAGTGAGCGGAACACAGACCCAAAACATCAGTAGTTCTCTACACCAGATACTGTTTTGCCTGTCGAGTGTCTGTAGTAAAGAAAGAAGCAGGCTAGCTAAATTTAAACCAGCTGTAACGATGAGAGTGTTACAGTTGGATTGAAGGGAGCTTACCTCATGAAAGTATTGTGGAAACTGCTGTTGGAAAGATAATAAAAGGATTAACTGAAGTTTTAGTGAACCATTTACTTTTCAATCAAAATGTCTCATGTATTTCCTGTTCTCAAGTAGCTTGAATTCCAAAATTCCTTTGTCTATTACAGTACATAGTAGCAAAGCCTGTCATAAGAAATTAATAATTTTACATGGAAAAGTACTTTTATGTATGAGGGCGGGGTGAAGCTCGCTGTTAGCTTCTCCTGAGCAGTTCAATACCTAGTCAGCCAGTAATCTTACAGAGAGGAACAAAATCAAGGGCTTAGAAGGAAAGTACAATGGGTAATTGTGAACAGCGAAAGAAAATCTGCACTACAAATACCAAGAGATGTAAAGTTACTTTAACAGGGCTACAGCAAAACCGAAACAAAATCTCAGATCTCTATAGACGGAGAATGAATTGCCTTCTTAATTTGCAGGAATAGCAGCACAATTATTACCACATCAAAAGAAAACCCATCATTTAAAATGACATGACATCACTGCACAATGAAACACTGCACAGCAACCCTTGTTTAAAGTGGAATGGAATTCGCTGGGCAAATAATCCCCACTTGATATTAATAACTTTAAGGAGCCGTGTTGCAGCTTTGGATCTTGCCCCTGCTAGATCAAGGTCTTTCCAGGGTAGAAAACTAAATTTGCAAGAAGACATATTTCTCATGTGCTCACTTGGATCCAGCTTTACCCCACACAGGATTCCAGGTTGTAACATTTAATACATGGATACCTCAGCTCATGGTGGAAGGCTCTTACTCAGGGAACAGAAGAGTTAACTGCAAGTTGTGTAACGTAAAGCTCCTAATCCTGATTGGGCCATTCCAAGTATGGAAACAGCTACAGTATCTGCTCAAATAAACCAGATCTTTACATACTTGCATGCCAAGGCTATATACATGTGCCATGAAGGCTGTCTGTAATATCAGATGCAAAGGTTTTTCCAACCTATTCACAATGTTAAACCTTGAGATGTTATCAAAAGCTGGTTCTTTAATGCATATGAACATAATTGAAAATGGAAAATTTTTAGCATTTTCTAAGATACTATATGATAGAACGTCTCTGGTTTATCCAGTTTCCTGTAGGAATGGGAATGCAACATTAGAAATCTGCTATACAATACCTGCCAAGTAGGCATTTTGCAGAAAAAGACAAAAGTTCCCTCACCCATAGTGTCTACTCAATCTTTCAGCATCACACTAAAGCTAATCAGGGCTTCACGTTTTAAGTATCTATTTTAAAAAGCATGAGATAAAAGTGGGAAGGAGACTGATCTCATTCCAGATGCTAAAGACACTAATACCAAAAGTAGGCTAAAATAAAATCTGTAAGTATGCTTTCACAGCTTGCTTACTTCAGCTTTTGTATGGAAAGAAGCAACTAACTTGTGTTCTCCTTTGATGATTTTTGACCAAATGAAAGATGTGCATAGGAAGTTAAATTCTTTTTTACTTTTACAAATTGTGATTGAGCTACTCGTGGAAACAAGCAAGTCAGTTCTTGTTCTCAAAGGAAAAAGAAACAGGTAAGTCTCAGAGTGTTTCCATGTTATCTTGGACAACTTGATGGTGTTCTCTAAATATCTGCCCTGCTTACAGTATGATTTTAGGGAATACCCACTGAACAGTGCAGATATTAAGATAACGTTATTTATCCAAGGGAAGTAAAAAGATAATCAGGATGACTACTTACAGAGAAAATTTGTCTCTATAAAATAGTTTGAATAATGTTGTTTTCTTCTTCTCCTTTCTATAACCACAGCAGGCCAGCAAGATATTTCTTGAGCATATGAAAAAAGTGAGCTTTTTATATATGTTCTTTCCTATTCCTCCATAGAAAACTACAGCTTGCCATGGAAAAGTCTTTAAAAGTATTTTCCATTATATCATTGTCTGATCAAAACAATAAAATAGACATAGAGTCAAAAATTCTGCCTATCAAGAACCACAACCTGCTGCCATAACCGTTCCCTTTGTTTGTACTTATTTGTGTGTGCGCCTGTGTGTATGTGCATGCGCGCACACGCGTGCGCATGTGGGTGTTACAAATAAGACTTTCCAAATTTCATGGCCCAATTTGGAAGTTTATGTCAAACTTGGTTTGCTTCATCTGTTTCAGTCAGGGTCTTATATCATTGTTGTTTCAAACATGTGGCAAGCTTAATGGAAGTCATTAACTTTTATTTTAGTTTGGCCATATTGTCATCATGGTGGGCAGATGCAGAGATGGTGTTATTCCCAAGATCCTCTTTTTGGAACACTGATGTTGTTTACATCTTCTTGATCAGAAGAGAACAATGGTTTTTACTTATTTTTAAAGCTCTGTTTTGCAAATTAAATAAAGCCCCTAACAACCTTTGAAAATGTAATTAAAGATATTCTTTTTATTCTTTTAACTATTTAAAATCCTTAACAAGTTTCTTTTCCATTCTAAACTACCATTTGGAACTTCTGCACTCACAACTCTATGGGTTATTGTTCAGCTGAAGGAATGAAAAGAATTTCATTAGATGTGTTTTATGTTTTTTGATTAAAAACGTCACCCGAGGCTCAGTGACTTGTTTTACGTTAAATGACTGCTGCGTGCTTTGATCATCACTTTATTAATGCTTTAATGAATATTAAAAAAATAAAGCACTGTATTAAAAGTTAAGCTCTCGTATAAGGAAACTGAATCCCTCCTCCAAGAACTACAGTATTTCTTACTCAAACATTTCCTTCTAGATTAAGGTTTTCTCCAACTGCCCTTTAGCCCGCTGCAGACTAAGTTACAGGAAAGCACAACAATTATATTGGAGTAAGACTGAAGAGAGACCAAGAAAGAGAGCAGAGTAGGATATTTCTAGTCAAACAAATATATTCCAGACTTACCATGCACTTGTTCGGTTTTTCTCCAGAATGAACCCTCATGTGAATCAGCAGCTTGTAACGAGCATTGAAGGGTTTATATCGGCGGACACAGCCTGCCCAAAAGCAAGTGAAGTCCTCTCCTTTCCGCTGGTCAATGTGAGTCTTTTCTATGTGCCTGACCAGTTCGTCTTGTTGGTCGTAAGTGGCACTGCAGTCGATCCACCGACAGACCTGTTTGCCATTGCTGAGGTCCTGTTCATCCCCGTCGCTGGGCTGCAGGGACTTCGGAGACATAGAGGCATGTAAGTGAGGCAGTTCCCCTTGAGTTTGGCTTAGCTGCTGGTGTAGGTGGTAAGGGGGAGGCAGCCCCTGATGATGTCGAAAAAGATCAGCAGTGGAGGAGTAATCGTCAGCTGGTTCTTGTTTTAAGAAACTCACCTTCTGGGTGCTGTGTGAGGTGTTCTGATGAGGAATGCTTGTGCCATTCATCATAAGGCTGAGGCTTCCATTCTCTTCCACTTGCTGCATTTGTATCTGCTCACAGTCACCTCTGTCACATTCAGCGGAAATAGGCACAAGACATGCTGGAGGGGACGGAATACTGCAAGGGTTTCCAGGCTGAGAGCAAGACTGGGGCCGAGAGGATTTTTGAGCACTGTGATGACTGATCTCCACAGGATGAGAGGAAATGCCAGTTGAATTAGTCCGCAGTCCATTCACACAGGTGACCAGTGACGTCTGTGATGTGCGGATGATAGCTGTAATATCAATTCCGTCAGCTGAAGGCGGCACAACAGAGATGCATCTCTTCTTCAGGTTGCTGGTTTGTAGCCTGGCTGAGTGCTGAGGGGTGCCAAGTGACAAAGGACCCAGGGAAGAGCTATGTTCATTATTAAACAAGTAGGATGAAAGTGAATTTGTAAAGCTATTATTCATTAGGTCTATTTCAGGATGCAGACTACCGGAGGCTCTCAGCTCCATCCCCTCCGTAATCCTCCTATGTGTGGAAGCCTCAGACAGAACCTTATAATCACTCGGGCATTCTTGTTTAATGTGCTGAGCCGGGTGACTTCCATTCAGGCATGGAGCAGCAGAATCTACCGCATCTTGAAACCTGGGTGACCTGTAATACAGTTTTCATTAAGCATCACTAACTGCCACAGGACTTATGATTTTTGTACAAGACACAACACTTCTTAAGCCCTGCAGAATGGAAGCACTTGTTCTCTGCTGAATGTTGCCTGGCTAATGCAGCAATTACACCAAGAAAATCTGCAATGCTTCCTCTACAACCCTTGTAAAGGCAGCATCGTTTTACACAGGATTAATTTTACACACTGGGTTACGCACAGAACAGACAATCTCCCCTCCACTGCTACAGGCAGTTCATCAATCACAATCTAGGTTTCCAATGCATAATAGATTGGGCAAAACAATAGCTGAGAATGAAGTTTGAGAGCTTTGGGCATTTCTGAATTATTCAAGTATCAGCATTTTCCTCAGAGCACACTGGGAAAATGCCTTGGCATTCTTGTTCACACGAATCAGAAAAGGCTAGCTGAGCTCTGCTTACATGCCAGAGAGATGCTTTCCTCCACTAAATTAAAAAAGGAGCAAGATCAGTGGGGAAGAAAGAAATACAAAGAAAGAACAGTTCGCTTTCAACCAGTGGTGTGGAGTAGATGAGAGATCAGCTGAGTATTTACTGCTAAGAGGTCTACAAAAGATAACTAAGAAAAGTTCACAACCGGCAGATTTAAATTGGCAGGCTATGTAATCCCATTTCCACTTTTCCTAGTGAAGTCTACATGGGTCTGCATATCAAAAGAAGATTGTTCTGCAGAATGATTTTTAATCTTTTTTGATGTGTGTTGAATCCAACCACTCAGGAGGCGGAACCTTGAGAAACTCCACGTAGACTTTTCAGAAAAACACCTAATTTACAAAACATTTCCTCATAACATTTTCTTCCAAGTAGTTAGCAATTGGTTTATACCTTAAAATAAAGCACTTTATCTCAGATATGAACGTTTACTGTGGATGACCCCACTGTTTTCTCTTAGGACCAACAGGTGTTCTTTACATACCCCTAAAGCCTTAACTCATGGCTTCATCATACAGTGATGTGCCAGACTGAGAAGAGGAAGCAGTACATTGAATCACAGAATCACAGAATGGTTTGGGTTGGAAGGGACCATAAAGACCATCCAGTTCCAACTCCCCTGCCATGGGCAGGGACACCTTCCACTAGACCAGGTTGCTCCAAGCCTCATCCAGCCTGGCCTTGAACCCTTCCAGGGATGGGGCATCCACAGCTTCTCTGGGCAACCTGTCCCAGTGCTCCCCACCCTCTCCAGGAAGAACTTCTTCCTGATATCTAATCTAAAACTCCCCACTTTCAATTTAAACCCATTACCCCTTGTCCTGTCACTACAGGCCGCTTTCCTGCACATCTGTGTGCGGGAAAGCTGTATCTGAACTAACAAACCCTCCAGAGAGGTGCTCCACAGCTCTTATGCTGACACGCTCCACTTCAATGAATGTTATGCTTTTAAGGATGCTAGCACCAAATCTGCCCATGTGGCAATTTGTGTGTGACACAACAACTAAGACAAACCAGGCACACTGTAAAGCATGAAACACACATGCATAAGGTATTTGGGACATATACATACATTGAACTGTGAAGCTGCTGAATAAACTGCATTTATTTTATGATTTAGATGATTTTATCACTCTAATTTCCATTAATCCACCACTAATATTAAGATGGGAAGCTGGGACAACTTCTAACACGACCTTGGTGACAGCTCTCAAAGAACTACCGATTAGAAAAAAAAAAAAAAAACCAAGAAAAAGCGTCAAAAATACTTCCTTCCCATGAAAGTAAGGTTGTCAAAAAAATTACACCTGTCAAAGGCCCAATTCTGTCAACAGTGCATTCACTAATGGCAGGTTTCTAAGCTCCAACAGTTTGCAGCGAGTAGGGCTTGATATAAAAAACCCCTTTAAGGCCATGAGAGAAGTGAAATTCCCCACCACTCACTGCTACAGAACAATCAGATCTTACAGTTGCCACCAGAAGTTTAAAAAGACTGCATTTACAAATTGTAGAGGTTTCCATAATCCATTAGTCATAATCTCTCCCTTTAGGTTTCCACAGTTGGTCTCAGGGTAAACTTAAAGCACCTGTTTTCGCAGATGGTAAATTAAAAAAAAAAAAAAATCCAAACCAAAACCAACAGTATTCATACATTATTTTTTAACATTTACCAAACTGTATGCCTGTAAAATAGGTGGCATAAGCATACATAAAAACCTTTTACTGCACATATTTGGGAAACCTTGCTCTGCTTGCTTGTAGCTTCACTGCTCAGTAGAAAGCGTGTTGTTTTAAACTCATTCTGAAAAGGTTTTACAGCATACCATTCCAGGCACTATATTTCCTATTACTTCGTTTCTTCTGTACAAGAACTTTTCTAAATAATTCAGTTTGTATCACAGTTCAGTGGTCCCAAAGCCTCAGGCTAAAGTAAACACGACACATTTCTTACATCATATAAAGCTAACCCAAGCCTTACGTTTCAGCCTGTGATAATTGGTGTCATATTATTAAGCTTTATGTAAAGCTCACATCTTGCCAGAAATCCATGTGAGGACTTCAAGCTGGAGTCAGCACACATTACCAGGATGGATACACATGTCCCTGTCCTAAGAAACATTAGGTTCCCAAAACTCCCAGCAATATTGACCTGCATTTCCAGCACAAGTTCTTACTCAGTCAGGACTCTCTTGCTATCATGCTGCAGTGCAGCATATGAGACACAGAAGAGGGAGGAGTTTTGAATCAAAAAGCAAGCTGGAACACCTTATTTCAAAAGCAAATGAGATTAAGGCATTGAATTCATGCTTCCCATTGGCACAGCTGTGTCTTATCCATGTTCTCCCTACATAATGATAAGCACAGGCTGCTTGTGCAGATCAGAAGCAAGTCTTTTCTGGGCGCTAGTTTCCTCTGTAGTATTGTACATTATATGCCCTGTAGTAGCTAACTGCTGGGAGAATCTGGTGTCCTTTCAGCTCCTGATGTTTGAGTGTCAGGCTACTTAAGGTTGCATTAATGCAAAAATTAATGCAAAAGATGTATTCCTGGCAGAATTTTGCCATCACTGTTCTAGGGAAAGCCCTGTTCTTTCCTCTCAGTCCTGGCAGATGGGGGTGACAAGGAGCACAGAAACAAAGCTGATGCAAGAGGGAAAAGGTGTCTGGCATCCAACTTGCTGGGTGCCTCCTCTTATACCCATTGACTGTTCGGTCCTGTAGCGGCACCTTGCTGTTCCAGCTGAGGATCAGATTCCAGGCCTGGTACAAAGAGGCAGCACCAGCCATAAGGATTTCATGATCTCTGGACAGTAGTGAAATAGAAATGTATAGAAAGAAACAGCCCAGCGGAGAGTGATAGGGACAAAGACAGCTGGACAGTGTACAGAGCACAGTGTGGACACACAGATCAGCATGAACAGCTCTGGGGGGCTTGCAGATGAGCAACCCTGGAAGGAAGTGGGGTCAGCAGAACATACCCCACAGACCTCTCTTGGCAGGGAGCATCCATGCACCAGAGATGGGCAGTGTGAGGCAACAGAATCGCTGCTTGAGCACACAAAGACCTTCAAAGAGTAACAGCAGCCTCCCAGAGGATACTAAGGCAGTGTTTCCAAAGAGACTCTCTTACGTGGTAATTGGAGCCAGAGCACGAGGCCAGTAGCACCATGCCAGAAGCACTGCAGTTCCCAACTGCCCTCAGAGGAAAAGACGGCTGTATCTAAATCTGATTATTTACAAAACATACATGCCTTCAATTGCCACTGTAAATGCGCAATCAGTGATAACTGACAGTTTTAAGAAGTTGGAGGAGATTGTTCTGCTGCACATCCAGGGATCCTCTGCAATGTTATCTGACTGCTCTGAGGCCTTCCCCGGGTTTTATATGCTGAGCAGTGAGCACTGTGGGCGGGTTTGCTCTGTCTGATAATGGTTTATTTGACAACAGGCCAACATCAGCTGTGCGCTGACTCCAACTGTGGTAAAGAAGGTATTAGGGCTTTTCCAGTCCCACACACATTGCATTCACAGATAGCATGTAGCAGCAATTACGTTGCACAACTCAAAACCTATTAACTGAGTGGGGAAAAGGGGCCAGGAAGAAGAGGGATCTGATTCTTGGGTGAAGGCAATCATTCCTAGAATACAGTTTCTGAGAGGAGGTGATTCAGGAAGAAGCTGAAGGGGATAACAAGTTTCAGTGCACTGAGGGGAAAAAAGGACAAAGCCATTCATAACCCAAAATCCTGAGGGAGATTTTGGATTGCTAAGGAGGTGCGCTCCAGTTTGTTTGGGTATTCCTTGGACGTTGCATATCCTAGAATTGCAGACTGGTTCAAAGCTCAGTGCAGAGAGATTGTCTGAACTTGTATCTCCCTTTATTTCTGTGTTGGTCCTAGAGCTGGACAGTACAACCAAATAGTTCACCCTGACTTCTGTGTGCTCTGCTATCTGGCCATTCCAGCCCTACTTCTCTCAGCTGATTTCTGACAGAGGCTGAAATCTGGGGAGGCACAGAGCAGCCTTGGCTCCAACTGACTTCACTGGAACCTGATGGGCATTCACCCTCGCCTCAGTTATGTTCTGGTTTCAGGTCATCAGGGGAAGACCACGTTTTCTGTCACTTGCTTGTCAAGAACCACGAAAGCCATGAACAGGAATCATCCCGCTGCCTACCTTCTCTCACATGCTGAGGTTTTGGCTCTGTATCACGTATCTCATGAGTAGCACAGTGATAAAACTAGACACCGTTTCTGTGAGGTCCATAGGGCAGAGCTGGGCATTGGCTTTGCCTTGCAAACCCCATGCAGGCAAAAACAGTATTAGCCAGGTGCACATACAAGCAGAGCATGACCAGTAGGACACACAAACAAGCCGTAAATGAATGGAAGGGTCCTTCAAGATATTTTCCAAACATTTCCAAACTGTTGCTTAGAAGCACCAGAGCCTCAAGGCTTTACACCACGCTACAAAGCAAAGGGGAGGGCATCAGGCCTATCACCTGCTACTTTCTCATGTTATGCAGCAGACAATCCTTTATGTTGTTCTGGGAATCCTCTTCTAAACGAGGGCTGGAAGGGGTTTATATTTCTGAGGGTGGGTACTGTGATCCACCGGTATGCAGTTATCTGTCATTTCCTCATTACAGATTTTACAAAAAGGTTCAAAAAGATCTAAGCAAAGAACTCTCTTCCTCCTTTTGTTTGCTCTTGCCCTAATTATCTTTGTTTCATAATTGTCCTCACTGACAGAATAAGAAAAGGTTAACTGCCAGTCCCACACTGAGCCATAAAGAAGCAAAAAGGGAGCAGATTTACATCCAGCTGCAACAGCATCTACAAATCTTTGCAGTGATAGCAGAATATTTTGTTATGTGGCACAGATATTATTTGTCCTTTTCAAACAAACAAAAAGCTCTTTCCACTTGGTTGCCATACTGCTGGGCTTCCTCTTCCTGAAAACACAGATGTTCTTGCCCTACCAGTAGATGGAAAATGGGAAATAAGACATAGATATGTATAATGAAATCAGAAACAGTCAGATGTCCAAGACCAAGCTATGGGCCATATTTCCTCTTGCTGTGACTGTGGCAATTTGGGCTTGATAGTTCCATGCACAGAGTGCCAATTATTCCAAGTATCTAAGATAAAGGCTGCAACTTTATGTAGGTTTTTCTTTTATACAGCTCTTCAAAAAGGTCAGGATTATTCTGTATTATATGCCTTGCCAAAAAGCAGCGTAATTAAAATAGATGGACAGATTTTAATTTGTAGCAGGCTTCTATTCACAATGGATGTCTGTTTGGGGTACTTGTTTAAAATCTGGTAATGTTAAATTTGTAACAACAACAAAAAAATAATAGAGTTCTGTGTTTTCATATAATTAATTTATAGCAAATGTTTAAATAGAGATTCTGTTCATAGCATATCCAACTACAGTGTATATATCAAAACCAGAGACCAAATTTTCACATTATGGCCTTAAAAGCAAATACCAAGGATGTGGCTGTATGGGAACACTGAAAATGCTTCACTAAAGGAAATGCTGTAGAAATAAAAGTGGCATTGGCTTCCTGTAGGTTTGATGGTGGCATGCCAAATTGCCATATGGGAGACATTGGTTTGGGAGTTTGTATCATCCTTGCCTTCCAGGCCGCAATTAGAAAAACAACATGGCGTTGGGGCGGAGGTACAGAGGAGGCAAGTCTGACCCTACTTAAGCCCCTAGCAAAACTCTCATTGACTGCTGAGCATGCTGGAAGAGACCCCCAGAGAAGCTGTATTTACACTTTAGTGCAGGGAGGCTGCGGCTGCACATGCAGTTGCTCCTACTGGCACCTGCCTCGGACATCCTCGGCACCTGGATGTGCACACCAGCACATCCCTGCCCTGCAGAGCTGCCAATGAGCAGCACGCTTACATGAGCCTACAAAGCACTTCCAAAACGAGGCACAAGCCAAAAATACTCTTCCAGATGTAGCACCCATGGATGCTACTGGCAAACAGTTCCAACAAAGAAGCACTACAGCAGAGCAAAGTACATGGCCCAATAAAATTGCAGCGATACCTCAGATCAGAGTGTGTCAAGTTCAGCTGGCCAACGTGAAGCAGCCTCTCACAGGACAGCGGGTGGTCTCGCATCAGGGAGTTTCCTGTGTGGATGAACAGACCTTGTCTGCAGACAGGCACTGAGCTGCTTGTCATCTCCATGTCCATCATGTTCTTCTTCTCAGAGATCAAATTACAGTGATTGTAGCCACCGTTCACTGTCAAAAAAAAAGAAAAAATCATAAGCCTTTGATTAAGAACTCATTACTTTGTATGCTCATTTGCATATTTTGTATGCTTATTCTGGATCTCCTTGTAAAATTCTTGTAAATGACATGGCACTGGAAATGAAAGGTTTCACAAGGAAGCAAAAATTAATTCCAAACGAATGTGGATCTGTGAATTATGGATGTTTATTTCTCTTTTTAAGTTTTGTGGCTATTTTACACTTCATAATCTAACTCAAAAAAACCTTAAGTCTGACAGCTTGCCCTCCTTCAGGGTACTTTTATGGCAGCCCTCCCTGTGTTAGATTTTGGAGAGGGATGTTTCAGAGTATTTTCAGGGAGAGGAAGTCTCTGAAAACAGTGACGTGAATCAAGTTTTTCTTTGCAGACAATTATCTCTGTGATTATGACTTTAGATGGGCATGTTCCTACTTTATTGTCAGGTCAACAGTGTGAAAAAAGGAAACTAATTTTGTTTCAATGTATACATTTAACTGTGTTTTCCAAATAAGCTATTATTATAAATGCTAATAATAATATATTCTGCTCTGATGAGTAATACATTTTATCAGACTTGGAAAACCAGACTGGAGTTATAGCAATGTTCTTCAGAATTATATATATAACCACAGATGACAATCTAGCTAAAAAGAGAGGACAAAGGGGAAATTTAGAATTTAGATTGAATTGGTCAAACTCCTTCCCCCTTGTACATGGTGATGGGTACTGTCAAGCCAGACTGCACAGCAGTCAATCCATTCTCCAGGGAGGCATTGAGTGTTCCACGTTGAGGAAGAGAACGAAATCTGCAGTCAAAGTGAGAGAAAAGACAAAGCCTGTGCTGCTTCATGTAAATCACCGATTCTCACAAGCATCAAAGTTTGTCCTTTACTAAGGTGTCAGAAGGCACCATAGTTTTGCTGTCTATGAGATTTACCCAGACAATGTCTATGTCATTCTATCATCTCAAAATGGGTGGTTAAGATGTGCTCACGCAACTTCAGAGCAAGCTTTCCTCTCCCCCTTGACTACAGAAGGCACTCCAATGAGCAACTTAAACTGAGTACCTGTCTTTCAAACAACTGTGGTTAGGCAAAATGAATCCCTCTGAGTTGCATAGGACTTACAGACATCCTTATCACAAAGGACTTCACACTGCTTTCAGGTCTGGTCCTTCTTCTACTGAAACCCACACTGGACCTGCCATTGACAGCAAAACATCTACCATTTCAGCCCTGTAATTTGTAGTATTATCCAGAGTAGGTATATATTGATACAGAATCACAGAATGGTTTGAAACTGGTCTTTCTCCATCTTTCTTATAATCCCCCTTTACATATTGAAAGGCCACAGTGTGGTCTCCCCGGAGCCTTCTCTTCTCCAGGCTGAACAACACCAACTCTCTCAGCCTCTCCCCACAGCAGAGGGGCTCCAGCCCTCCGACTACTTTCATGGCCCTCCTCAGGACTCGCTCCAAATGGTCGATAGCCTTCTTGTACTGGGGGCCCCAGAGCTGGATGCAGAACTGCAGATGGGGTCTCACCAGAGCCGGGTAGAGGGGCAGAATCCCCTACCTCAACCTCCCAGTCAGAGTTCTCTATACAGCCTAGGATATGGTTGGCCCCTGGGCTGCAAGTGCACATTGTTGGCCTGTATCTGAATTTCATCCACCACTATCCCCAAGACATTCTCTGCAGGGCTGCTCTCAGTCAATTCATCACTCCGTCTGTACTGGGTTTTACACCTATATAATATAGGTACTACACCCATAGTATATAGGTATAGTATTACACAAATAAGCAGATATCACAGTATCTAGTTAATGATATTTTATAATATAGGGGTAAGTAGAACTGTACTTGTGAAGTTTTGCAATCACTTCAGTTACATCGATTATGAAAGTTCCAGTCAGAGATTGTGCTCATTTTAGTTGGTTACTGCTTCAGCACAGCTCCTCTGAGGAAAGGGCCCCTTAACATACATGAACCCGTTTCCTCTCATGGACAGCTGCTATCCCTACAGCAAACGAAGGCAAGTGGGAGAGGCTGAGCTGCTATGGTTCTCTATAATTACAGTCAATGAATGCTTTGAAAGTGATGAGAAGCACATTCAGGTTTTTGGTGAGAAGAAACAGGTGACTGGGGAAGGCAGAAAAAGAATGAGAAGAAAAAGTCTCTGGTAACTGGAGAGATTGTGAAAAGGATACCAGCACAAAAGTCCATTCTCCTCCACTGGCTGGGCTCCACAGCCCCCATCATGCTCCACGGCACCACTGTAATAGGGAAGACCATGGCAGATGAAGACATAGCCCAGGCAAGCATCCAGACCCATACAAAAGAGTGGGTACATGTGACACCCAAAGTACAAGTCTCGTGAGGCATTATTGTGACATTTCCAAAACAGAATTCCCTGTTTCCAGTGAAAAGTTTCCAGTCCTCGGCTGACACGTTACGTTTGTTGACCATTTATTTATTTGATTTTCATTTTTTATGAATTCAGAATCTCTAAAATTGAAAAACAATACAGGGTTTTTCCTACCCAGCTCCAGCACGGTATCAAGGCATTTGATAAGTCTTCGCAAGTATAGGCCAGCATTATTTTATACAAACAAGAAGCCCTTGTAAGATTTTTAGGTATCATACATAAGATTTTAAAGAGAAACCACTTTGCATTTAAACTACGTAAAATGAGCCATTAGTCGCCTTCATGGTAATTAATACACGTGTTCTGGTTATTTCAGATTTATATCTGAATAATTCACTGAATTCACTAATACGCTGAGGTTGTTCTGAATGACTCTGAAGAGACTAAGTGGCTGTACAGAAACGTTTCACCTTCTGGCTTGCGCAGCTGTATTCGCTGGTTTTGGAATGAGGCATTTAAGAAGATCACTTTGGATGCCTTTCAGCTTACAATAGGTGTTTGTGACCATTAGCCCTGCTTGTAATTATGACATAAATGAACATTATATCCTCAGGAGTCCACGGCTCCATCAGGCTTTATTCCATTCTTACTTTGGCTTTATCCCACCATAATTTAACTCCTTTCAGGGGTAATATCCACCTTAGCAAGACTGTATCATCAGACTTGCAGTTGCTACTTTGGATGCATGAATCGCATTTAAAGGGTATTTAAATACACTGTTAAACACAGGTGAAAGAAGTTCTATACACTTTCAAAGGCTGCACCACCACGAGAAGTTGGTAAATCAGTCATACCTACCCCATGCAATTCACAGTTCCTCACTTTTTCCATCAGCAATGTTACCTGGAATATATTTAAGATGTATCTTCCCTGCAAAATACTGTGGATTCTTTTACAATGTTTAAGATTTGTATCAGACTCGTAATAAAAACACTTTCTTTCATTCCCTGAATTATACAAGTCTGTAATTCATTAGGGTTTTCTAAATATGCATTTTATCAATTTTGTCATATTATCAAAACATAGGAATTTGAAGCTTCCACCAAAGTTCAGCAATACCAACTGTAGCACACACTGATACCTATTTGTGTGAAGATGGAGAATTCCTAGAATAACATGAACATTATCCCTGCGCTGTCAAAAATGATTATCTTCTCTTGTAGCTGTCAAATCAGAAAATCCATTTTCTCCCTGCGAAGGAACAGAACACTAATGCTAAATCCATGAGATTATGTCTGTTTCAGCCAATCCCCTGTACATTCACCTTCACAAAGTGCCTTACAGATTTATTAACAAGAGCTAGAAGTTTCTTGCCCAGCAGCGCCTCATGTGAAGTCAAAGTTGCTCAAAGCCCTCTGCATGTGCCCACCACATGGGAGCCGGAATAATGATGGACAAGCAACGACACCAGCGGCTCACTCTTTTCCCCCGCCACAGCAACTAAAACAAGAACCGAGAGACTGTCTCTAAACACAGAAAACGAGCGCCTACATTCAACTGTTCAAGCACATGCGAAAGCAGGTTCATCGCCTCGGAAAAAAAGGAAAAAAAGTCTGGTTTACACCGGTGTAACTGAGAACAGAATCTGGCCCTTTGTCAACTGGCTGGTTTATACCATATTAATATCACTGGCTGGCATACACAAGATTTAAGTATTTTCCATGTCTGGAACTAGATCTCCTCTTTCACTGGTATCGAGGGGCCTTTAACCTACATACTGTAACTCAACAGTAACAGATGAAAAGCGCACATACTCCCTGCCTTGTAGCAGAGGGTTCACCCTGCTTTCAGTAGAACCATAGCTATTTCATAAATCCATATAAAAATCTAATCCTAATTTACAGAGAGTAAATCTAATAAAAGCAGAATGGTTTCCAGAAGGATCTCACGGAAGTAGAATCCATCAAGGTAACTTTTGTCTTTCTCTTTTTCTGTCCTGCAGTTTTGATTTATATCTTTACATTGAAATGCTCGTGAAGGGAACAGAAGAGGTTGATACAGTAGTGTGCAAAGGCTGCAATCAGGCAATTCCTTCCATATGAGTAATCAAGTTTGTTCAATTCTGGATATCGTGCTTCTTTCATTCTGGAGTAACTCACTTTGGGGGAGTCTTTTCTTGATTTCTAGCAGATTAAGTCATGTGAGAATCTGCCCCATTGATTGTCATGAAGTTCACACTGGTTAGGATCTGCAGAGTCAGCCCTATGTTTCTTGCTAGAGGTAAATTCTCCCAGAGGAAAACAGAGCATCTCCTCACACAAAGGGAAACCTGTCTGTGTGACAATGAGATCAACATTTACAACCACCCTACTAAAGGGCAACAGCTCTCTTTCTTCCCTGGGGAACATCTTATTTACCATTCAGGAAGGCTTCACTCTTTACTCCTAAAATTTAGCTATTAAGGCTACGAAGATAAGAGCAAGAACTTACCAAAAGGGTAATTACTGAACAATAAACACATGTTGCAGTGCTTTGGAGTTTATCTAATTAAGGCCAATGAACAAATAACTGAAACGATGT